ACATTACTTCAAGAAGCTAGAATCGAAGGATATAGTCTCTCATATCCATCTGAAAATTTTCCTGATAAATTTCCACTATCGCGTATTTCTCTATCACACTGTTCAATATGTGACCGAGAACATGATAGTGATAATGCATATATTATTCGAAATAAAAAATCTTACAGCTTTTTCTGCTACCGGGAAAATAATGATAGGGAACCCAACTCCAGAAAACCTTCGAAAAAACTTACTATTAGCGAAACTGCCTTGGATCGAGAAAGGAAACTTCCAACTCCAGTAAAACTAGAACAATCCAGAATTACAAATCCAAAAGATCAATTTGTATTTTGGGACTTATTACGCATGTATACTTCAGGTAGAAAATTCTCCTATGCTGAAGTTTATGAAGCTATCCAAGCAACAGTTGCCTGCATGTAAGGAACTTCGAAATTATGGTTTCTTAAGCGTAAAGATATAGAAAATGGCCTTTTCTTTGATATAGAACCTAAACTAAAGCTTGCTGATTACAAGATTAATATAATTGAATATGGTGGGGAATCAATAAAGTTAAAATCATTAATAGACCAAGCAGATACTAAAGGTCTAATACTTTATGAAGATTATAATTTCCTCCCATACCCACCAAATGCCCCTCAACTAGTTACGGATTTCTTCAACCTTTTCTTAGGATTTTTAGCTAAGCCAGCATCAGAAATTAATAAAGAAATTATGGATCCGATTCTTTGGCATACGAAAAATATTATTAGTGATAAAAATGAGAAGCTTCATAAATATCTTTGGAAATGGTGAGCGTATTTAGTGCAGAAGCCAGAAAAAAAGCCTTGGTCAATCTTAGTCCTAAAGTCTAAATTATAGCAGTGTGGAAAAAATATTATCACTGACTTTATTGGTGATAAAGTTCTGGGAGAACATCTCCATTATGCTACATCAGATTTGAAAAAAATTCTTGGGCGATTTAATAGTACCATTTAAGCTCGAAAGCTTATTGTTATGAATGAGACTGGAATGTCTAGCGGGGATTAGCATAGATTTAATGAACATCTCAAATCTCTTATAACAGAAGGAATGGTGACTATAGAGCGCAAAGGTCTTAAATCTAAACGACTAAAAGATTTTGCTGGGTATATAATTACAAGCAACCAGGATACTCTGCTCAAAATAGATATAGGGGATTCTTGTGTAGTCTGTTTTGATGTCTCTTCATGATGTAGAGGAAATACAGCATATTTTAAGTGACTAGGAAAAGTTCTTGATCACCCTGATGCGTCAGGAGTAGTTATAAGATATCTTCTTAGTCTTGATCTCTCAGATTTTGAACCACAAGAAATTCCTGTAACTAAAATGAAATCAGATATAATGCGAGACCAGCTATCTAATCCCATTCAATTTATAATTGACTATATTGTATCTCGAGTTGAGGATAGTGTAGTTGAGTTAAGTAAAAAAGCATTATATCAGAAGTATCTTGAATGGTGTGAAAAGGATGGTAAAAAGCCATTTTCTAATAACATTACTGGAAAGAAATTCTCAGATATTGGTATTGAGAGCAAACAAGCACGAACAAGTAGTAGAAAAAGAGAATGGCAATATATTCTTGATCGCCCCAAAATCATAGCTAAACTCCGTGAATCAGGCCTAGGTGATATTGAAGAATTTTCTGATATACCCCAACCTGACTTACCCACAAACGAGACCACAGACATACCTATATTCAATGTATCAGAAACCATCTCCCAGAAAATAACTCCACCTCAACCAGAAGAGAATCTCCCTCTAAGAGATAAGAAAGCGGATAAACAGGATGATTCGACCTAAGCTCTTTTCGATTATATAGGAGAACATACAGAATCTCTAGTCACCTCAACATTTGGGACATCTGAGAGTTCTAAGACTTCTGAGTCACCTGAGCCAGTAATCGATGGTCCTGAGACTAGCAAGCATCCAAAGTCAATTGAGCCTATTTGTGAAATAGTGAATACGCCTCCTAAAGAAACAAGTATCAAATGCGATTTATCTAAGCCTAATGAAGTATCATCTGCCATACTTCTATCCAGAGCTCAGCGAGAAGAGCGTCTCAAAAAATGGGCTATCGATCATAGTGAAGACCCTGATAAGTTTATGACGATTACAGAAAAAGACGTTAACTTATCTTGAGAGTATCGAGACAGGATGATAGCAGACGCAGATGTTATCGAATTCGCTAGAAAAAATAAGATGAACCCAAATGATTTATTTTACATGACTAGAAGGGAAAGATTAATAAGCGAAGAAATATATCTCTGGGAATTTGAGGATATGGGAAAATCCTGAGAGTATATTTACGATGATGAAGAATGGCAAAAAAATATATGCATACTCCAGAAAAATGGTATGCTTTGGTAAAGAGCGAATAAGAAGCCAGTTTAGCCAAAGGCGCTGTGCATAAGAAAGGTGTTTGGGTAAGAGGGTCTTTATGTTCTTTACTCATAGGAGATATAAAATTCTAAATTATTATAATTCCATGACTATGTATTTTTTTCGCATATTATATCTACCCATGCATAGCGCCTTTCGGCCAATTTTCAAATATATATAAAAGATATCCCAGCCGGGGCTTATGGCCTCATAGAGAACTCGCAATAAATTATAATAATCTTTTTGTCCACTGACCATGGTGTAGTGAATTGTCGGGAGAATTATTTTTCGAATTGAACTTTTTCAGATATAGAATAACCTAACAGTTATGCATAATCTAGTAGTTACTCCACAACCTATATTCATATAACCATGTTCGCAATTATAACAAAGTACGTTGCAGAGCACAAACTCAGTAAAGATATGAGTGATGAAGAACTTAGTCAGCACGCTCTAGAATTATTCGAGCTTTTGACAGATAAACTGAAAAGAGATAAGGGTCATCAGCGCTTTCAAAAAGGGTATAATTTTAGCAGAGAGCAAGCATTTATATTAATCCCTGATCAGAGAATTTGCCGAAATAGAAGTCAGGTAATCCCTAAAGAAGAAGGAGATATTAATATATGTCAAGTATCTGACATCATCTCAGATAGAAAAACCATCAAAAGTATAGCCCAGCGCATTGTTCGAGATAATCTTGGTGAAAAAGAAGTAAAGGCTATAACCAAGGCTTTAATTGTTCCTAACCCTGTCACTACCACATCCCGTCTTAGTAGGCTTCAAAGAGAATTGCGAAAACTCAATGCCTTAGAAAAAATAATCTCTGCTACATTAGATGAAGAAACAACTTGCGCATCTAATAAGATTCAAAAGGAGCGTAGGGATCAATGTGAAAATGAAGGGATTGATTTTTCAGATCACTTCTCGTTAGAATCAGTTAAGGAGAGACTTGATTTGTATGACGTATCTAAGACACCTACTGTGCAAGCCCTAGCCGATGTAATGATAATGCTCTGCATCCGTCCTGCCGAAATTAAAGACTTGCACATATCTAATGAAGGTGTAATTAGATACACAAAAAACCGAGGCCAATAGGATAATCCTCGGATATTTAGATCGTTAGAAAGAGATGAAGAGCGGGCTAAACTTCTCCTTACTTGGATTCAGGATGCAATTTCTTCTGGACAGTTGAGGGATCCAGGAGTGCCAGGAGTTAAATGGTTTAATACGTTTCTGAAAAAAGAAAGATTTCTTCCTGAAACTGGTAAACCACTCCTCCCTAGCTATTTGCGCAAATTAGGGGCAGTATTTGCAGTCATATCGAATAGTGCGAAGAATTTATCAGAAGCTATGACCATCACCAGTCAAGCCCTTCGACATTCACCAGACAACCATGCCTCTCCAGCGCAAAACTATACTATAATCAATTTTCGAAAAAGAGGACAGCCTTATGGTCAGACAACAGTATTCAAGCTCTTCGATGAAAACTAATCACATATAAGGGTTAGACATCATTTATTAAATTTATTTTTTTTCATTTGAAGATATAATATATAATATGCACTATGTATGGTGCAATCAAGCATCTTTTATTTATCAGTCAGTAAAAAAAAACGAATAGAGAAGCTATTTCGCAATCAGGAGGAGAAACAAATGAAAGTAAGTTAGACAATGACTCTGATTCTGATGATTCTGAAGAAGAGATGCCAGATAAATTGGACGATGATGGATATAATGATTACGGTAGATATAATGAATGTGGTGGAGGTTATTATTATCGTGATGGAAGATATGAAAGGAAAGTCTCGCCAATGATGAGTCCTATTATATCTCCGGTATCCGCCTAGGAGAATTATTGGGTAGATTGTAGACTGAATTATCATATAGGTTTATTTTTTTTCAGTCAAATCGAGATCAGCAAATTAATAGACATTAGAGTTGCCATATTTGTTCCATGTTTTGTGACGATCGTAGTATCTGGAAGTGACAGTTCCGCAGTATTACATTTCGCAAAATCGATCTACAATGAACTTCCAACTCATGATACTGCTCTCTAAGGGTTCAGTGTCACGATCTAAAGTGAACACCCTTCTACGCGTATTCTGCTAGGAGTGTCATATGATACTGTTCCCTAAAGGTTCAGTGTCAAGTGATCCTCTACACATATACTATTAGGAGTGTCATATGATACTGTTCTCTAAGGGCCCAATGTCATGATCTATAGTGAATATCCTTCTACATATATAGCGTTATGAGTGTCATGTAATACTGCATCCTTCGGGCTCAGTGTCAAGTGATCCTCTACATACATGTTGCTATGAGTGTCATATGATACTGATCCATCAAGGCTCAATGTCATCTGATAATTGTACATAAAAATTATTCTGAGTGATGTTATAGAATACATGATACTGCAGGTGTTATACGAAATATAAATATATGTATCATACCATAAATAGTATCACAAATACCAAAAATAAAAAATAAATTCTGACCAATCATTTATTAAATATGTTTGGCTAATACTTTATATTACATCAAAAAAAAATAAAGCAGAACATTTATTAGAATCTATGTAGATATGCAATACACGGCGCTTCTATTCAATCAGTCAACATTGGCTCATTTAGTTCTAAATCATCAAATTGATCAAGCCAATTTGGTCGAGAAGAATTTGTTCTAATCCTTTCTTGAATGACCTTTATTTCTTTATCAGTAAATTTCCCAAAAGACGATGGTGAAATTCTCCTAATTCGCTTGATCTCGTCTCTTCCTAAACCTTCTGTTTTAAATATCTTGTAAATATTTTTAGCTGATCATTTTTTCTTGTTAAAGATATTACGAGTCATCTCAGAGGGGAATTGTTGCCTAATTTCTGCATTAAGCAATATTCGTGCGGTTTGAAGAGGATGAATAGAGGTAAATTCGGCCAATTTCTTCTCCAATGCTTCCCCAAGAGGATAATGAAAGTCAAGGATTTCATATTCCACGTGGGATACTTCACGTGTTTTTTTATTAAGAATCTTCTCAGCATGAAGTATTTTATTGTGTAATCTGACGAATATCATTTCAGGAGTTGTAGGATCTCCCGTTTCCACATCTGACACCTCTGGTAATGGATTGAAGTCTTGTGGTCTATTGGATAACTCTTTAAAAAATTTTTTAACATTGTCATCTTCTCTAGGATTTAGCTTTGCATCATCATCATCACCAAGATAAATAAGATGTTGACAACAAGGACATATCATATCTTTTTTTAAGGAAATAATAATACACCTAAGATGGAAGCTATGAAGATAGGACAATCTCGCGACTGGTTCCAAGTTATTTCCATTAGTTTCGAATAATGGATCAGGTTCTTTACACCAAGAACAGGTGACAGATTCGGCTTGAGAATTGGTTGATGTGGTGATTTGATTCTCGTGATTAGTGATACTCCTATAATCAGATTCAAAAAAATCTTCTTCATTGGTCAATGGGGTCTGCGGAGCTATGCTATTAGATCTTTCTGATTCTATGAGTATTTTTTTGAGATGTATTTACGAAAGGGTAGAATATAGGGTTTTTATACTTCCTGAACACATTTCACTTGTGATCACGAAATTATAATAACTGGAACTTGCTAGAAGAAATACTCTCATTAATCTTTAGATGACAAAGCTCCTTTATTTTCAGCCAAAAATATGTAATGAGGTATTTTTGTCTAGACTTAAGCGAAAACTTTGGTATCTAGGTCAAGATCTAAATTTCATATGATCACACATACAGTATAATAGTTCACTCATATTACATATAGTTTATTTTGTATTACTTTATCCAATAAAGAATTTTATTGATTTTCAAAACGTATGTCTACCAAATGTATCTATTAATAATATTACATGTGCTTTTATATTCTACTACAAGTTATAAAAAAAATAGCTAGGTTTATTAGCAAATATTGCTATTGATATCATTCATTATATATTAATAAAAAAACTGCCTAATTCTACTCATTAGAATCTATTCCTTTGGAATCGGTACCAGCGTAATTAATAGTTACATTGATGACATTAGCACTTTGTGAAAATGAAGGGAGGGTAGGTGTGACTGGCCTAGAGATCGCAGATGTTCCAATAGATGGTGTTACTGGTCTTGATGAAACGGGTGTATTTATGATGGTTTTAGATGATGATGTTTGTAATCTTGACGGTACAGGATATGATGAAGAAGTTGCTTCGCTTAATCTCCTAACGCTCTCATTATGTATTCGTTCGAATGGAAGATCTAGTAAAATTAAAATATATCGATATTAATAAAGACCACTAGCGACTGAGAAGCATCAGATTCCCAAAAGTGTAGTTACTAGGCTTCAACCAAAATTCGCTAGAGAACTCTTCATAGATTTCCTCTTCTATTAAACTCTTTTTTTTCCCACCCTTTCTATATTTTATAGCTGTCTAATAAAATAATGATAATAAGAATATTATCGGCTAAATTCTTCGTAAAGCTAAGCAAGAGTTACTTACTTTATAAGCCTTCTTGAGATTATTAAATTTCTTTTGACAGTCCTCACTAGTGAAAT